ATTTTATCTTCGAAACGCATGCCCACCCTCAAAGGGGTGGTCGTTACATACGACCATCCAACCTCATGGCCTTAATCATGATGGCTTTTTGTCTTCGAAACGCATGCCCACCCTCAAAAGGGATGGTCGTTATATACGACCATCCAGCCTCATGGCCTTAATCATGATGGCTTTTTATCTTCGAAACGCATGCCCACCCTCAAAAGGGGTGGTCGTTACATACGACCATCCAGCCATGGCCTTAATCATGATGGCTTTTTATCTTCGAAACGCATGCCCACCCTCAAAAGGGGTGGTCGTTACATACGACCATCCAGCCTCATGGCCTTAATCATGATGGATTTTTCCATATCCAGCCTGTCATCAAGGTTAATCCAAGAATATCGACCATACATAAAGTAAATTTGGTAAACAACAATTTGCAAAAACTTCAATACGCCATCTCATTCATCATCGAGCGAAGCAATTCATTACATTGGCGGTAGTAAATAAGAAAGAAAAAATTTCAAGCATAATACTTCTTTAAATTAGCCACATTCCATGACCTGGCTAGAGATCTTCCTTCAGCATCCTTTAAAGAGTATGCTCCTCCAGCATGGACCTTTTCGACCAGGTATGGTCCTTCCCAGTTTGGCTCTAACTTCCCGACGTGTTTTAGCACATCGACTCTCTTCCAAACCAAGTCACCCACTCTGAATCTTCGTGTTTTCACTTTCCTGTCATGCGCTGCTCGCACCCTTTGTTTGTATGCCTCAACCCTGATTGTCGCCCTTTCTCGAAGCTCTTCAATTGTGTCGAGCGCTGCTAGCATCAGGTGCTCATTCTGTTCTCGATCATACGCGCTCGACCTTTGGGACTGAACTGCGACATCTATCGGTAACAGGGCCTCCATGCCGTATACCATGCTAAACGGTGTTTCCCCAGTGGTCGATCGGGGTGTCGTTCTGTACGCCCACAGCACCGAAGTAAGCTCATCCACCCACGCTCCCGATGCCTTGTCCAATCTTGTTTTCAGTCCGTTCAATATGATTCTGTTGGTTACCTCCACTTGCCCATTGGCCTGCGGGTGTGCGACCGAAGCGAAGTGTTGGTCGATTTTCATGTCCTCACACCATGCTCGGATCCACTTGTCGTTGAACTGGGTCCCGTTGTCCGACACCCACACCTTGGGGACTCCAAATCTGCAACATATGTTATCATACAGGAAATGTATCACTTTCTCCTCCATGATCTTTGCCAGGGGCTCGGCTTCCACCCACTTCGTGAAGTAATCGACCGCCACAATCAAAAACTTTCTTTGTCCCGTTCCTTGGGGCATGGGTCCAACCAGGTCGATTCCCCATTGGGCAAATGGGATGAGAGAACTCATCGTCGTCATAGCTTCGGCCGGCTGGTGAATGAGTTGCCGTGCTTCTGGCATTGCAAACACTTCCGCACCATCTCCTTGGCATCTTCTCTCATCGTCGGCCAGAAATATCCTGCCCGTAGGGCCTTTGCCACCAAGGAGCCTGCCTTGCTGTGGTCGCTGCAGCAGCCCTCATGAATTTCTTTCAACACATATCGTCCCTCTTCTCTGCCTACACATCGCAAGTGGGGACCTGCGTATGACCTTTTATATAGGATCCCTCCATGCTCGAAGAATCTTCTTACTGCTTTAACAGTTCCCCCCTTTAATTCTTTCATTATCGGCGCCCTCCAATCCTCCACCTCTTCTATCTCGACCACCTCCTTCTCAACCACACTCTTCTCCATGTGCAGCAAGGTCACACTTCTGCTCTTGCAATCCACCAAACTTTGTGCCATTTTAGCCAATAGGTCTGCTCGACCATTTTCTCCTCGAGGTATTTGGATTAATTCGAAGGAATCAAACTCTCCCTGCAGCTTCTTTATCTCCTCCACATACTTCATCATCCTTTCCTCTCGGACCTCGAACCCCTCCTGGAATTGGCCCACGACCAGCTGTGAGTCTGAATGCACCTGCACGGCTCGAGCTCCGCCACTTAAGGCCAGTTTGAGTCCTTTAATGACTTCTTCGTATTCCGCCTCATTGTTTGATATCTGGTAGGCCACCTTAATTGCGAACTCCAAGCTATCGCCCCTTGGCGATATAAGCACGATGCCTAGGCCACCTCCAACCCTCGACACCGATCCATCTGCAAACACTTGCCATACCCCTTCGAGCTCCTCACCTTCATTCGTCCCCTCCTGAATAAAGTCCGCCAACGCTTGGGCCTTAATCACTCTCCTTGGCTCGTAGATAATTGTGTATTCACTTAACTCGACCGCCCATTTAACTAACCGCCCCGGCACGGAGGGTCGACCCAGCGTTTCTCCCAATGGCATGTTCGTTCGGACCCTCACCCTATGCTCCAAGAAATATGGTCTCAGCTTCCTTACAGTCACCACCACTGCCAAGGCCCCCTTTTTGATCTCTGAGTACCTCCTTTCCGCTCCTTGCATCACCTTACTTACGTAGTAAATAGGAAACTGGGCTGCTCCTTCCTCCCGCAATAACACAGAGCTCACTGCCATCTCCCCGATGGATATATATAACACCAAGTCCTCCCCTTGCGCCAGTTTTGCTAATAGCGGCAGATCGACCAACATCCTCTTCAACTCCTCGAATGCTTTCTGCGCTTCTTCTGTCCATTGAAATTTCGAGCTCTTCCGGAGTGTCTTAAATAGGGGCCCGCTTTTCTCAGCCACCTTGGAAATGAAACGGCTCAGACTCGCTATTCGGCCAGTTAAGATCTGCACTTCCTTCACCTTCGTGGGGGGCTGCATCTCGATGACCGCCCTCACTTTCTCCGGGTTGACCTCGATCCCCCTCCTTGTGACCATATAACCCAAGAATTTTCCAGATTTGACCCCAAACGAGCACTTAGCGGGATTCAGCTTCATCCCATACTTCCGAAGGGTCATGAATGCTTCTTTTAAGTCGTTCACATGGTCAATTTCCTCTTTGCTTTTCACCAGCATATCATCCACATACACCTTCATGTTCCTCCCCAACTGCTCCTTAAAAATTTTATCCACTAACCTCTGATACGTCGCCCCCGCATTCTTTAAACCGAAAGGCATCACCACATAGCAGTATGTTCCGCGACTTGTCACAAAGCTGACCCTCTTCCAATCCTCCCGAGCCAGCGGGATCTGATGATACCCCTGAGATACGTCCATCAAACTAAGTAGCTCGCACCCTGCCGTGGAGTCGACCAGCTGGTCGATCCTAGGAAGCGGATATAGATCCTTCGGGCATGCTTTGTTTAGATCACGGAAATCAATGCACATCCTCCACTTCCCTTCCGCTTTCGACACCATCACCGTGTTTGAGAGCCATTCGGGGAACTGAATCTCCTTAATGTGTCGTGCTCCCAACAGCTTCTCGACCTCCTATTCGATAATCTTATCCATCTCCGCCCCATGGTGCCTTCTCTTCTGCTTCACCGGCCTCACGCTGAGGTCGATGTTTAGCCGATGCTCAATCACCTCCGCATTTATCCCCGTCAGCTCCTCTGCCGTATAGGCAAAAATATCCGCGAACTCCCTCACCAACTGGATCAACCTCGACCGAACAGGCTCTCCCAAGTCCTTTCCTATCCTAAACTTTCTCCTTTCGCACCCCTCAATCATCTGAACCTCCTCGACTTCCTCCCCAGGTTGGATATCCATCTTCTCCTTGCCCTTTTCCACTTTTTGTCTGTCCTCCCTCGACCTTGATCCCCCTGGTCGATTAACCTCTTCCCCTCTTGACTCGGCCTGCCTTTTCGCCAGTTGTCTGTTATTGCTGACTGTTGTTTGATAGCAACTTCTCGAAGTGAGCTGATCTCCGGCAATCTCCCCTACGTTTTCTCCCACCGGATACTTGATCGTCATGTGGTACGTGGATACGACCGCCTGGAATGCGTTCAAGCTCGTTCGTCCCATGATGATGTTATAGGATGACTCAGCACCTACGACCACAAATCTCACCATGCGCACCTTTCTCAACTCTCCTGATCCCAATGCCACGGGCAGGCTGACTTCTCCCATCGGCATAACCTCTCCTCCATTAAAACCGTACAGCACCGTGGTTACCGGTTTCAGCTCCATATTCAGCTCCCTGTTGATCTGCAAAAAACAGTCGTAGAACATCACATCTACCGAACTCCCGGTATCAATGAACACCCTCTTCACATCAAATCCTGCGACCTTTGCGGTTATCACCAAGGCATCATTGTGTGGCAGGACCACTCCTTCGGCATCCTCCGCCTTAAAACTTATCACCGGCATTCGGGCCGTGATACTCACCTCCTCCCTCTTCCTCTTCATTGCTCGAACGTGGCCTTTCCTCGCATTGTTTGAGTCTCCGTCCGTCCGTCCTCCTGAAATCATGTATATTGTGCCTCTTTATATCTGGCCTGCGTCTCCTTCTCTTCCCCGCTCCCTACTTCCTCGCCTCCTCTTTCCCTCATCCCTTTTTCGACCATCTCGACCACCTCGCGCATCCTCATCATCATCTTCCTCACTCCTCTCGACTGAGTCCTCCCGACACTTTCTCTTCTCCTTCCTCCTCCCCCTGTCCTGATAAACAAACTCCTTGAGGTGTCCTGCTCGAATGAGGCGCTCAATTTCATCCTTGAGGTGCCGGCAATCCTCAGTAGTGTGGCCATAGTCTTTGTGGAAGCGGCAATATCTCCTCGACTTCGGTTGGGTGGGCCCCTCGAACCTCGACCTGGGCCACGTCACGTCTTTCTCATCTATCCTTTTCTCCATAGCTACCAGAACCTCGGCTACCTTTGCGTTCAACGGGGTGTAATCATGGAATCTCTTTCCTCCAGAGATGGGTCGGTCCTTCCACCTATCCTCTCGCCCTCGATCTTGTCTAGCTCGCCCCTCCCTCCTGGGCGAGGCTTTCCTTTTGGGCGAGACCGCTTTCTCCTTCCTCGACTCCCCTCGACCTAATTCCTCCAGCTTGGCAAACTCCGCCTAGGTTTCCTCGAGATTGATATACTTTCTACACCTCCTCAGTACCTCATCATACGTGTGAGCAGGGGTCTTAGCCAAAGAAGTTCTACACGGCCCCACCCGCAAACTCCTTATCAATCCTCCCGCCTTGACCTCGTCGACCGCCGACGGGATCTCCAAACAAGCCTGATTATATCGAGCAACGTACTTGCGCAATGACTCTTTCTCGCCCTGTCTCATCGCCATCAATGTCAAATACGTCTTCTCCTGAGCCACCGCGCTCGAATATTGATTTGTCAACTTTTCTGCAAAATCTCCAAAGTCCACTATCGAGCCTGGGGGGAGCTGTTGGAACCAGTCGAGCGCCCCTCCCCTAAGGGTCGATAAGAAAGCCCTGCAACTAACGGGATCAGTATATCCATGCAATACAGCCATATTCTCAAACGTCCTTACGTGTCTCGACGGATCAGAGGTTCCATCGAACACCAGGTTGGTATCCTTGTAATTGTTTGGCAAAGGCGCTGCCAGTATGTCCGCCGAGAAGGGATTTCCTCGGGCGCGCCTCTCTGCTCGACCATCCACCTTAGCCTGCAATTGGCGCAGCTGCTCCGCCATTCTCTCCATCTCCCGGTCATGCGCAGGCATGCCTCCGCCATAGCTGGATTCATCCTCCTCCGCATTTTATCGTGACCCTGCAACAGTATTCGGCGCAGTCGTAGCCCGAGAAAGACTGTTTGTAACTTGTTGAACCGCCTGGGCCGCTGCCTCCGCCACCATTTGTTGCATCTCCTGCCTGGTCATTACCACCGGTTGGTCGGGGACCTGAACCGCTGCTCGCGGCGGTGCTCCTCCTTGGGCCGCCGCTCCTCCCTGTTGTTCCCCTGTCCCTCCTGGTTGCACTGCTGCCAAATTTTGTGGTGATGGTGGTGGCATCGCTGCCGCGTCTGCTGCGCGAGCCTCCTGGGCATGGTTGGGGCCGGTATTTCCTCCAGGGATCGCTGTTGCCGCTCCTACACCTTGGAGCACCGGTGCGGGGGTAGTCGGCGTCTGCGATGGACCTGAAAAACCCGGAGGAGGACCTTGCCCCAACGGCCTGGTCGTCGTCCAAGCATCATCGAATGTTGACTGTTAGTTTTTGGGAATTCCGTCCGCCATAGCTGAGCTTCAAGCACACCTTTTGCAACGAAAGTCCCACAGACGGCACCAAATGGTAACACAAAACTCCTCGACCGGCTGGAACTTGAGTAATCACCTTCCTTCTTGCCGGTTGAACGTCGTGCACCTATAAAGAACTCTCACACCGGAGGGGTTTTCCGGTGAAGAGCCTCCGAAGCTTAAGTCAGTGTGTATTCAATCAATTCTCAAGAGTAAGTAGAATGATCGTGTTGAAGAAAAAAGGCTCACCCCCTTTATATAGAGGTGAGATACCTGACCTAGGGCTGCCCGTATTTGATGAGTTGTCTGCCCTAGCTGCCCGTCCATACGCACCAAACGCGTGTGTCAGAGGTAGCCGTCGCCACTATCGCCTGCACCAAT